GGGAGGATTTCTACAAAGATTAACCAGACTAAGATTTAAAGGAAGAACAGGCATTAGCTAGGTCGGAAAGACAGGGTGGAGGGAACATTGGAAGAGCATTCCAGACAGCGAAAACAGCACGTGCAAAGCCCCTGTGCTGGGAACAGGCACCGCGCATGTCAAAAGCTGAATGGCTAATGCGGTAATGTGGGAGGAAGGTTAGGCTCCAGTAAGAACAGTAAGAAGACACTGAAGGGTTTAAATTGGGGAATGAGAATATCACATTTGCTTGAGAAAGATCAGCAGATTGTAATATGGAGAATGTATTGAAAGTGGCCAGAGCAGAAGTGGAAAAACGACTGGTGGCCATCACAAAACTTCAGTCAGGAGGTGATGCGATGTGATTTAGGATCATGCAGGTAGATGAGAAAGACCAGATAGATTGAAGGGATAGTTAGGAAGTAAAATAACTAGTAATTAGGGTTATATACTAGATATGGAAGGTGAGGTACAGCAAAGTATCAAAGATAACTCAGTTTTCTAGGGGCTTGTATAACAGGATGGGTAGTGTCATTCTCTGAAACAAGAAACATTAGATGAAGATCAGGTTTGGGGGTTTGTAGGGGAGGGACTACAAGTTTAGTTTAGACTTATCTAGTTTGAGATGCCTTTGAGAAAAGCAGGTGAACTGTCAGGCCTGTGAATATATGGGTTAGAAACTCAAAGAAGTATGAGCCAGAGAAGAAGTTTGAGGTGATCTGTGTGGGGAATCCCTAACCTCTCCTTCTTAAGTCCTTATGGGCAGAATAGGAAAGACATATCTGAAAGATGAGGTCAGTATCATTCACCCACTCATCATGTCTGTATAACCGGCAACAATGAAAATCTTCAAGACTCAGTAGTCTTTGCCAAGGAAGAGCTTTGATAATTATTGCAAACTGAATCATCAATAACATATAATTCAATCATATAGAGTTATCCTCAATATATGTATACTTTGTTGAATTTTAAAATGCAGTGTTCGTTTTATGCTCATATTTTCTCAATATTAAAATACAAATCTCACTTATTACTTTTTAAAGATAAGTACCTTTTAAAGCAATATTAAAGCAGTTTTTAAAATCACTTATACTTCTGCTCTGCATGCATTTTGTCTGTGCATAAATGTTTTAAAATCTACATTCTTCAGGCAATTATTATTGGTAAAATATATGTAACAGAACTAAGAAAATATATGTAACAGAACCAAGAAAATACACATTTTTTTCTCACAACAGATAAATTCATACTTGATTGAAATCTGCATTTAAGAAAAATTGTATCGACTCCCTCTTATGTAATGACTAATTTTTTTCTCATTTTAGTAAGTTGTTATTTTTCAAATGAAAAGTATATATGTCAGACCTAGGAACTGAGCCAAGATCAAGCAATTTCCAGGAGGTATAGAAAGGTGCTTAGATCTGCATCTTTTTCCTGCAAGTCAGCATTCTTCCTTTCTCTGATTAATAACCCTCTAACATCTTCCATCCACTCCCATAGATTACTATAGTTAGGTCTATCTTTTAAAATCAGATTATACTGGAGAAAGCCTTCCCACTGATTATTCAGCCTGTCTTTAAAAGCACATAGTAGATAATTTGAGCTCCAACAGTTCTGTATCTTATTATTAGAGTAGATATAAATTTCCTATATGGTAGTTGTAGAATCAACATAGCAGATCTCAGTTAATAAGCACAGGGAATGGTAGTAAATTCATAGAGTCAATTCGTAGTTGAAGCATTCTGTTATCAAAATCAGCAAGCCAAGGTGCATACTGCTTTTTGAAACCATGCCCAAATGTGAGACTTTTTAAAACAATAAATGGATAAAAACCTTACATCAATCATAATTCTCACCTTCCTCATGATTACATTTGTAACATAAAAATGAAATGGAACCCACTGAGGAATCAGATTCTTTCTGAATATGAACTGAAATTCCCTAGTACACCTATAGACAGTTAACTCTCAACCGCTGGGATAGAATTAAAAATTAAGGCTAGGTATGGTGGCTTATGCCTGTAATCCCAGCACTTCAGGAGGCTGACCAAAGTGGGAGAATGGCTTGAGCCCAGGAGTTCAAGACCAGCCTAGGCAACATAGGGAGACCTCATCTCTACCCCCCCCCAAAAAATTCATTTTTTAATTAACTAGGTGTGGTGGCATGTGCCTGTGGTCCCAGCTACTCGGGAGGCTGAGGTGGGAGGATTGCTTGAGCCCAGGAGGCAGGAGGTGGAGGTAGCAGTGAGCCCTGATCATGCCACTGCACTTCCACCTGAGTGGCAGAGCAAGACCTTGTCTCAAAAAAAAAAAAAATTAATTAATTAAATTCTGGAGCCTCAAGGAAATAAAAATCAGATAATGTTCTCAATTTCTGTCAAACCATAGAACCTCGGCTCTGCCTAGGTAATATTCTGAATTTGGAATGTAATTCCCATTTTACAATTAATTTATAATTTAAAATCCTTGCATAAATATTTCATTTACACTACGATCTTAGAAAGCTCCTCGGTTTATAAATACCACTATAATTCAACTATCTTTACCCTTTAGCCACATTTTGCAAAGAGCCACATGATACCTTTAACTAAGTAAATTAACTGTGATCAAGGCTGAGCTCAAGCTGGATTAGCTCCATCTGCTGTATTCTGATAAGCAAGCATTTTCTATGAGAATAAGAATGTTTCTGTGAGAGCAGAGAATATATTTTTCTTCTTCACCATGGTTAATAACTCATTTTTAGAGTAAAGACTGAATGAAGAAACCATTCTGTCACTGTGTGTGTGTGTGTGTGTGTGTGTGTGTGTTTGAAGTCTGTGTGTTTGAAGTGTGGCAAAAGAAGCACAGGAAATGACGTCCAACAGAACTGGAAATGAGTTTGAATCCTTGGCTTTGCCAGTTACTAGTTAGTTAAGTGACCCTGATAAAAGTTGTTCATTTTTACATGGTTGAGTTTCTTCTGCCTGTAAAGAGGTAATAATAGTAATGCCCACCTCACTGTGCTATAAAGATTAAATTAGGTAACCTATAAGGAACTCACACAACGCCCAACATCTAGTAGTTACTCAGTGAAAATTTGTTTTTATCTTCTCTGCTTCCCCTTCTTCCTTTTTTTTCAATCCTTTTTTTCAATTCAAATCATGATTGAAAAATAAAATTTTAGCAGGTTCAAAATAAGCATTAGTATTAAATGGAAATGCTTTGACTAAAAGGGTAACTCTCAAAGGATGATGACTAGATTACTAAAGGCATGATCACTCAAGTATCCACATCCTGATTAAAAGACACAAGATTGGCTTGCTCATAGTGTTAAAATGAGACTCATATTATTTTCCCTTAATCATATATATATATATTTTTAGATGGAGTCTCGCTCTGTTGCCCAGGCTGGAGTGCAGTGGCACCATCTTGGCTCACTGTAACCTCTGCCTCCCAGGTTCAAGTGATTCTCCTGCCTCAGCCTCCTGAGTAGCTAGGACTGCAGGTGTGCACCACCATGCCCAGTTAATTTTGTATTTTTAGTAGAGACGGGGTTTCACCATGTTGGCCAGGATGGTCTCGATCACCTGACCTTGTGATCCACCCACCTCAGCCTCCCAAAGTGCTGGGATTACAGGCATGAGCCACCGCGCCCGGCCCCCTTAATCATATCTTTAGTTATTGCCTGCAAAAAGAAAAATTACCACTGAAGTTATATTTTGAAATTTCAAACACAGAGCAGAAATGTGTGGGCAAAGTTAATTAACCCTTTGTAGGTAAATAAAAAGTAATTAAATTTATCATGATGCCTCCCTCAACAAGTGTAGATTAAAAGGTGAACGTCATAATGATTCTGAAAGTCTAGAAGTGGTCTCAAATATAACCCCATCGGAAATCAACTGGGAAAGGAATTTTCAACCATTTACTTGCTTTACAACACTTGTCAGAAACCTATGAAAAGGCTAAATTACTGAAGCTGAGGCACTATTGGAAGTGATGAGTAATACAGTGACTATACTCAAGTTAACCCTAGATGAACCCAATTGATTAGTCAATGGTAATTGAAATTAGTTGAGGTGATAGAGATGGTCCTACTCTGCATAGGCCTATAGGTTTTTTGCCTGTTTCCTTTTTGTGTTTGGTAGATAAAATGGCCTATTTGTTATTTCTTAATTCTTTTGGTAAGTTTATTTTCTCTAGGAAATTTTTCATTTCATCTGTGTGTTCAAATTTACTGGTGCAAAAGACTCATAGTGTTTTTAACACCTTTTTCATCTCTGCTGTAGCTCTAGTTATTACCTCTTTTCATTTCTAATCATTTGTATCTTTTTTCATAAGTAATTATGCCAAAGTATTATCTATTTTAATAGTCTTTTCAAAAAAACCAACATTTAGCTTGATTGTCCTCTATCTTTTTTTTTTTCTAGTTATCCATAGTTGATTTTTATTACTTCTTCCTTCAACTTTGGGTTAGTTCTTTTCCTTCTAACTTCCTTCTCTTTTCACTTTGTTTCTTAACTTTCCACTTTCTTTCCTAATATACAAATTTAAAACTATAAATATACCTCAATGTTCTATTTAGCTACATCTCATAAGCTATATAGTATTTTCACTATTATTCCATTTTAAGTATTTTACATTTCTATTCAGATTTCTAATTTGTCCTATTAATTATTTAGAAGTATGCTTTTTAATTTTCAGTGTATGAGGTCTTTTTAACGGTTTTTATTTCTAACTTAATTATATTGAGGTAAAAAACAAAGTGCCTATCTTCCACTAAATCAAGTTCAAATAGAGATATCTTTATGTCAAGGTTCTCAATATCCCATTAACCTGTCCTACCCTTCATCTCTCTAGTCCTCAAAGCACACACCTTGATTCAGTCAAGCAAGGCTTATCACCATGATCTTCATTTATTTTTAAGTGGACTGCTATCTTCTTTTCATCCCTGTGTATAATTTTTTAAACAATTTCAATTGTTTTTTTTTTTTTTTTTTTTTTTAGATTCAAGGCATACATACGCAGACTTGTTACATGGGAATACTGTGCGATGTGGGTATGAATGATCCTGTCACCCAGGTAGTGTGCATAGTACCCAATAGGTAGCTTTTCAGCCCTTGTGCCCCTCCCTTCCTAACCCCTCTAGTAGTCCTCAGAATTTATTGCTCCCATCTTTATGTCCATGTGCATCCAATGCTTAGCTCCCACTTATAAGTGAGAACATGTGGCATTTGGTTTTCTCTTCCTGCTTTATTTCATTTAGGATCATGGCCTCCAGTTGCATCCATGTTGTTGCAATGGACATGCTTTTGATTCTTTTTATGGTTGTATAGTATTCCGTAGTGTATATGTACCACATTTCCATTATCCAGTCCACTGTTGATGAGGACCTAGCTTGATTCCATGCCTTTGTGCATAATGTTTGTTATAATCATTTTAACCTAGCCCACAGCTTCTTTTTAAGTCCATAGATTATTTATTTTGGAGCTTCTTTAAGGTCTTCTGAAATTTTTACATGTTTAAAATATCAAAACTTACATTAATATTTTAGATTTAGCAGTTGGATTTATGTAAACATCATTTCCTTTGTGTATTTTTTCACATTTTCTGATGTCTATACCATGTACATATATTGCACTTATAGTCAATGGAAAGAATTTTAAATGTTTTTAAATTCTCATTTGAGTTAAAACATTTCCCTCAGTATTTCTTAGTCTCTCTTCTTAATGTTTTTTTCTCTCCAACTATCTGCTCCTCTCCCTACATAATATTTTTGAGAACTAACTGCATGCACTAAATGTATTTTGTGTGCATTGCGTCTTACGCACATTCTTATTTAATCCTGAGAATAATTCTGTTGAAAGCACTATGATTGCCTCCATTTTACAGATGAGGAAGCTGAAGCTGGAACGTGACTTTTTCAAGGTCACACATCTAAACTATAGTATAAGGGTTTGAACTCAGGTCCATCTGACAGTGGAGCCAAGGGGTTTAACTACTATCTCATACTGATTTCAAGAGTTCTTTGATTCATTATGTGTTGAGATGATTGCCAAGTATCTAAGCAAAGAACTGATCCTGGAATCAATTCAATACTCTTGTAAGACATTTTTTATATTATATTCAGTAATACAGCTTTCATACTATGGTAATCAAGAGAAAATTTCTTCTGGCTATGTAGACAGAAAATCAGAGAAAAATACTGCCTCTTTTTTTTTTGAGACGGAGTCTCACTCTGTCACCCATGCTGGAGTGCAGTGGCACAATCTTGGCTCACTGCACCCTCTGCCTCCCAGGTTCAAGCAATTCTTCTGCCTCCGCCTCCCGAGTAGCTGGGACTACAGGCAAGCACCACGAAGCCCAGCTAATTTTTGTATTTTTAGTAGAGACAGGGTTTCACCATATTGGCCAGGAATGGTCTCGAACTCCTGATCTCATGATCCTCTTGCCTCAGCCTCCCAAAGTGCTGAGATTACAGGTGTGAGCCACCACACCTGGCCCCTCGTGTTATTTTTGATGAATGTTTCCGTCTAAAAATTTCAATCATAGTCCAAGAAAGAAATGCAGTTTGCATGTGGGAACCAGGTCTTGAGAAGAAAGGGCCTTTCTTCTAAAGTCTAGTGTTTATTAAGAGCTTTTTTTATCATTGAATATTAACTGAAAAGAAAGTTAGTAACACACCAGAAAATTCGTGGTCAGAAGAATTTGCACTGCATATTTAATAACAAATCATACCTTAAACATCTCTCCTTGTTTCTCCTTTCCTCCCTCAAACTGTATTCACCAACTGAACCATAGGTCACAGGTTGGATCATAAGAATTCCTTCATGCCTGTACACAAAAAGCAGACAATCTATCCTCTTTCTTCTTACTCTTTTCAAGATTTTAAAAGCACTGAAAGAAAAATTTTCTAATAATAATAATGTTATAATAGCTACCATTTATTAAACGTTCACCATATGTCATGCATTTCATTAAGCAATTTTTATCTCCAATTTTCACAACAACCTTCCTCACAGATTAGAAATCCACAACTGGGATTGTGGATTCTTTGGTTTACCCAAGATCACAAAGCTCTAACTTAAAGGTCAGTGATTACTGCATAGTTGTGGTGGGGAAAGGAGGACCAGGCGGGAGAGTTAAGCTAGAACTTGCCATTCAACACAAAGCGGAACTAGGATTCAAACCAAATGTATTTGACTCCACTAATACATATTGCCACTCGAGTCATTTGGCTCTGAAAAGTCAAAAGGAGAGAACCAGACAATTTAACTCTTGAGGTGACACTAAAATTCATTAACCATCTATGAGACATTAAATGTATATGTTATATCACATCCTAATTTTCTGGAATCAATTTTATTTCACAATTTATTTTTTCAGGAATACTGTATATATAAATCATAAATAAAATATATAAATATAAGTTAATATTCAATGGTCAAAGATGTTCTATGGTCAAAGATGTTTTAAATATAAATTCTGAAACCCTTGTATTAACAATTAATTAAACAATTATAAAGTCTTATAAATATAAAATTCCATTAACAAACCCAAGCAAAACACTATAATTAGAAATGAAAATTTTTTGTCAATATGAAATTAAGAAGTAAGTTATGCTTCCTTACTAATAATATAAGTTATAAGGATCTTCTCTTACCACTGAATTGTATTTAGCTTTCCTGGCAGAGATTTCCTGGAATATTCCACAATGTTTTTGCTTAGATAACATAATTGTTTACACTAGTTTTGTTATTTATTTCCAGGAAACATGTCCAGGAGGCAGAAATCAGATCATTTTTGAAATATTTGTTTCTGGTGTATTATGTGATATGTGATATTTAAGTATCAAAGTCATTTATAATAAAAAAGAACTTGAAGTCAAGGAAAAAAATGAATGAATATATTTGTTATTCTACTATTATTTTTGAATCTTGTAACTAAATGTTTGTCTTTTTATATTAGAAGCACAGGACAATATAACTTGTCCATGATTTCCCAATAGTGACACAGAAAATAATCATATAATTTTGTTCATAGGGGATTTTTTAAAACTAAATCTACCCACTGTTTAACTTCACTTTCCAAAACTTTTTGTGTTTTGCTTAGGCCAGTAATTGTGGATTACACAGTACAATGATTGCATTCATATATCATGACTCAATCAATTCAACAAAAATTCATTGAGTATCACATACAAAGCACTGCTAAGCTCTAAGGAAGGATAAAGAGATGAGTAAGATTCTGAAAGAGACATGATAGCAACTAAGAGATAAAGTAGAAGATCAATACCATAATAAAGGTATAAAGTGCTACGTAATCACGGTATGAGAGCAATTAATACTGATTGAATACATGTGTAATGGAAAAGTTGGAAAAGAAACTAACATTGAATACCTCCATTGAAAATATCCCAGGTCTTTACGGACATTATTTTATTCAATCTATGCAAGTTGACAGATATTGTGAAACAGTTTTCAAACGTACTCTGAATATTTTTCTTTCAGTAACTGTGATATATGTTGCTTAAAACTCAAGTAAAATGTAGAAATCCTATCTCAAAATACATAAAATTAAAACTTTGTAGGCTTATAAAAGGCAAGCTTCATATCACTTAAACAGAATGATGCAAAGCCAAAGCACCCAGTTCACCAGCCCAGACACTGATTACAGCTGCCCAGCATGGGTCCCTGCTCTGTGTGTCTTGATGGATCATGCCTGAGGTTTCTAGCTTCTTTGGCAGATGAGCCATCAGGACTGGGGAACCGCCCTGAAGAAGTACTTAGCCACCCAGCAGCTTCTGGGGCTTTGCACACGCTGTTTCCTCTGCCTTAAAAGCTTTCTTCCCCATCTTGTCTCCATCATTATCTGACGACTACCACTTTCAGGTCTAAAGCATAGACATCACCTCCTCTGGGACATCTTCTGAGTCCCCACCTCTACTCTTAATTAAGTGTCCTTGGTCTTCAGTTCATTCATTGTACCCTATATTAACCTCAGATAGCACACTTGAAACTATTTACTTGTCTTCTGCTACGTAAGTCTGCAGTCACCTTGCAGGCAGAAACTGTGTTATGTTCAGCCACTAACACATAATGTTACCTCATAGGCGCTTACTACGGGTTGAAATATGCCCCCCACACGCAAAAATTACACTGATGTTCTAACCAGCAGTACCTCAGAATGTGACCTTTTGGGTCTTTGCAGATGAAATTAGTAAGATGAGGCCATAGTGGAGTAGGTTGTGCGCCTAATCCAGTCTGACTGGAGTCCTCATAAGACGATTGCCACGTGAAGACGGAGACACAGAGAGAATGCCATGTGACAACAAAGGCTAAGATTGGAGTTATGCAAGCCAAGGAATGCCACAGCTTGCCAGCAAACCACCAGAAACTAGAAAGAAGCAAAGAAACCCTATCGGTTTCAGAGGGAGCACAACCCTACCAATACCTTGATTTCAGACTTCTAGTTTCCCGAACTGTGAGACAATAAATATTGTTTTAAGCCATGCAGTGTGTGGTACTTTGTTACAGCAGCCTTGGGAAAGTACTCAATAAATTTAGGTAGATGACAGAATCTGCACCTGGCTATGACAAATCTACGTCTATTCTCACTTCTTATTTCTTTCTTGCAACTTGATCTAAACAGAATTTCTTTGATTTTATCTGGCCATTTGAAGTTATAAGTTTTATTTGTTTGATGTTAGATTATCAGGCTTTTCTTTTGTTCTCATATACACCAGAGGTGATTTTCTGCCTGGGTATCTCCAAAACTTAATACAGATGAATTCTATGGAAAAAATGGAACCTATATTTGCCTATTTTTATAGTTTATGTATTGATAAATCTTCATGCCTGCACTAAGTTAGTTTTTTGCACTTAGGTAAACTCACCTGAGAATGGGCAGGTCTCAATATCTAAGCTAGAAACAGGAGAAATGATAGAATAAAGCTTTGTTGCCCTATGCAAGCAGCATGCTGTTTGAGCTTGCTAATGCTGCTTCTTGCCACCATTAGTGGCAATTTAGTGTGATGGTCAATCGCTTGAACTTTGTTTCTAAATGGAGCTAGGATCAAATCTGGTTCTGCCACTTAATAGCTTGGGTAAGTTATTTAACCTTACTAAGCTTCAGTTTCCTCACCTATACAATGGAGTAATAGTACTGTCAAACTTCTGAGTTGTTATAAGAAAATAATGACATAATGTCCATAAAGCTGTTATCATAGCTCATGTGGAAAGGTCTTAATAAATATTCGTTATTTTTAAAAAGTTAGTTATTATTAGGTGGGAAGAAACGCTCCATTTAGGGTCAATTATGTAAAGCAGCATTTTATTATTTTACAATAAAATTTTACCGCATTTTAATATTTTACAAAAGCATTTTGTAAAGCAGCATTGTCTTGAATAAAAACAGGATTTTGGCACAAACAAAAACATATAAATATATCTTGGGAAAAATATTTTAAAATTCTGCCAATACAAGATGAAAATGGAAGAATTCTACCTTCCATAGGCATAAGTCTTCATTATTGAGTCAAGATACCCACTTTTTTCTTTCTTTAAACAGGCTAAAACAAGAGAAGAGATTCTCCAACTCTTAAGAAAACAAAGAGAAGAAAGGATCTCGGTGAGACCAATAGTGAGGCATTTGGATAATCTATCTCAAGGGATGAATTGTGGCAAATTTGCAGAGGTTTTATAGATTGAACCCTTAAATCTAGCTAGCTATAGTCCACAGCCATCGATATACCAGAGTGGGGCAAGGTACAGACATCAGATAATTTGGCAATCGTTGATAAATCAAAACTGTCTCCAGAGTTTGCAGCCCTCCTGGCATAAGAAATGAGGTATTATTGTCAGTGGAGTTTATTGTTCACATATTATAAAGCTGTAAGATATTAACATGGGCTATTTGGTGCTAATATTTGTTTACAATGATTGAGCTTGCCTAGATCATACAAAAATAAATGTTAAATGAAGAGACACAAACCTAGTAAAAATAGTAATAGCATCTTGTAAACTTGTGGATGTACAAAACACACACTCCTAAATAAACCCCAAACTCCCTAATGTGCAACATTTCTGACCCCACCGTTTCCGGATTTAAGAAGCTAGTCTATAAACTCTGATGATTTTATCTCAGCTTTTTTTCAAGTGAGTGAATTGCAGTCAGTGCAAGAAGTAAAATTTTACCTTTTTGATTTTTGTTTTGTTTTGTTTCAGAAAGAACTGATTTCCCTTCCTTATAAACCAAAAGCCAAAGAACACGAAGCAAAGTAAGTTGACTTCTGTCAAAAATATTCTCTCACCTTTTAACTTACTGTGTAGGGAAGCGCTTTTTTCTTACTTTGCCACTTACCCTTAAATCTTCTAGAAACCCACCCCCGTATATTACAGATTTCTTGCCTTGAAAAAACTTTCTTCTCTGCATAGCTATTAAAGCCTGTGTACGAACTTGTCAGTCTGTGGAATATACAAGCATAAGTTAGTGCAAAACGGAAAGCAGCTCAGCCTTGAAGCTCTGTGCACATTCTCTGTCCCTCCCTTACCATCCTGGGCTATATAGCCACCAACCGTCATGCCCTCCTGACTCCACTGTCCCCTATCCACACCTGGCCCACTTCTTTAGTGAATCAGCAGGTGTTTGTAGTTCACCAGCTCTGAGTGGGCTAAGGTTGCTAAAACTAAGTTCATGTAGCAAACTCTCAATGGTGAGGGAGTAGCCTTATCTCTGGAATAATGTTAGAGCAGGACTAGGACAGTTTAAGTCTAAAAGAGTTTAAAGGAAATAAGCAAGCAATAGTTAATCACTAACGCACCCCTAATAAGAAATCTCTCCATTTTTGTATTATGACTAAAAACCAATGTGGCTAACTCAACATTAATTTGACAAATATTCATTTTCATACTACATTCAGGGAGAAACAGTTAGAAAGTTATAGAATTTTGATATTTCTCTCATTGGTATTGAGGCTGTCTTTAATGTTATCAAAGTAATACCCTTAAAGAAGAAAGTATATGTCCACACTAATTTTTTAAACTTCCGGAAAAAAAATAAAAAGATCATTTCATCACCTAGCTATATTATCTACACAATGCTCAGCAACCTAATTTCTCACTTTTTAGCCAGACGATTTGACTCAGCTTCTACAGATGAAGCAAAACTAGCCCAATCAAGAGTGACTTAACGATACCAATAGTGGATGAAGATTGCTACTTAAATAGCATCAATAGATATGTCTGGGTGCCTTAGATTTCTGCATGTATTTTTACAGAACCTTCCTGTTACTACTCATGTTGACCCATCTAATAATAAAACATTTCACAGCTTGGGCAGATAATTCTGTTAATAATTTAAATAATTACTTAATTCCTTTTGTAAATTAACTTTGTCCTGCATCCTGAAACTTTGAATTTCATTCTATTCTGCTGTGATATCTTCTTACTATAAACTTCTTCTAGTTACTCTTTTTTTTTTTTTTTTTGAGATGGATTCTCACTCTGTCACCCAGGCTGGAGTGCAGTGGCGCGATCTCAGCTCACTGCAACCTCTGCCACCCAGGTTCAAGCAATTCTCCTGCCCCAGCCTCCCGAGAAGCTGGGATTACAGGCGCCTGTCACTGTACCCAGATAATTTTTGTAGTTTTAGTAGAGACAGGGTTTCACCATCTTGGCTAAGCTAATCTTGAACTCCTGCTCATGATCCACCCGCCTCAGCCTCCCAAAGTGCTGGGATTACAGGCGTGAGCCATCATGCCCGGCCTCTAGTTACTCTTTGTACATTCTTTGGGTAACTAATCATGCACTACTCTGTGCCCATAATTATTTAACTCTTATTATTGCTTGCATTATTTAACTTTTCCCATATTTTTTGTATTGTCTGTAACTATCTTGTAAGGTCCACGAGGAATTGGGTCACCCAAAGTGCCAGCAAACTGCTTACGTGCTAGACTTCAGAAAGTATTTATAACAAAGAGTTTAGTTTAAAAATATCATGTAATTCAGTGTTAGCCAATTTGGAAAGTGATGTTTGCATACTATACATTAATTTATAAACTTTAAAAACTATTCTAATTATTTTAGACACAATTGTAAAATAATTCCCTTACATACACAGATGGCCCCTTACCGTTCCTCCTTCAACAGATCTTCTTAGTATAATCCAGGTCCTCTTCTGTTAGAAAGAAGGAACCGGAAAATGTGTTCATAGAAAGGTTTTAGTGGCAATATGTTTATTATCCATCCCAGAATATTTGCATTTTAAAAGAAGTCTGAATAAATAAAACAATAGGTAATCCAAAAAACTCAATTGCCAATGATTAAATCTCAGGAGTCTGACTCTCGAATAAACAAAACACATTTAGGGTAGGAGGGCTCCTGTACCTCCAAACCACACTTCACAGTATCACAACCACTTCTCCCACATACAAGTTTATACTTGGTTGCAAAACCCAACACACAGAATCCACAACAGTGAATTTTTACTGGGAGAATTTTCGAAAGTTGTTTTCATGCTACATCATGTTCACAATGGCAGAGTTCTGTGTATTGGAACTGACTGATATTACTACCAACAGGAAAGTGGTATCAGAGTCAGATAAAGAAGGCCAAGAAGAAGTCAAAGCCTTGGACTAATTTGCTTGACACATGACAGAGGATGGCTCACTTATATCTTCACTTTGGAAACAACCTTCTCTTAGATCAGGATCATTGAGATCACTGGCAACACTATAGTAGACAAAGAAATACAAGTTAAATATGCAGATTTCCAGGAATTTTACCAGTTAGTGAATACTTGTGTTAAAATAAAGAAATAAAGGTTACATATGCAGACTTCTATGAATTCTACCAGCTATTGAATATTTGTGTCTATTTTACTTACTGGGTACTACTGTTTGACACCACACCATACATCTCTTTCATCTTACCACATTCTCAAACTTCTATTTATCTTGTTTTCATTTGAAGAGTATTTCCAGAATTTCTATTCTAGATCTATATTATGACTATCAGGTAAGCAAGGAGCAGGGGCTTTATGTGTCTTAACTTGTAGACCACCAGTAAAAACAATCAGGAAATAGGAATGAAAGGGCAGTTTTGAAAACTTCAAGTCTACTTGCTTTAATAAGAAAACCACTTAGCAAAATTTTGTTTGTTCCATTTCTGGAACATGTCTGAAGTCAGAAATGAGTTGCTTCTACCTCTGTGAATAACTGGCTCCACGTGCCTACGTTTTACACACATACATAAACCTAGTGCCAATCTCCCTCACTTTCATTCCCTTTGCTATGTAATGGAAAAGAAAAGATTAAGGATTTGTCCCTTCTGCATTGTCCAAATGGCAGTCCTACTCAGGGTTAGATGCTCTTCCCCATCCCTCCTTCAAGAGATCTTAGCATAATCCAGGCCCCCTTCTGTCAGAAAGAAAGAACTGGAAAGTGTTTATAGTAAAGCTTTAGTAGCAATATGTTTATTATCCACCCAGGAATATTTGCATTTTAAAAGAAGGCTGAATAAAAGGAACAATGGGTAATCCAAGGAAATAAGTTACCAATGATGAAATCTCAGGAGTCTGACTCTTGGGTAAGCAACATATATTTAGGGTAAGAGGGCTACCCAGAGTTTGCAGCTCTATTTAAGGCCACCATTCCCATCACCACTTGGAACTCTTGGACACAGCTTTCATAAGACGCAGCCCCCATCCACTGTGCCAACCAAAGACTGGGTGACCCATTGGTCAGAGCTTAATCACAAAGACACATCAGGCTGTGAGGGAGGCTGGAAATAGTCTTTAGAAAATGGGGAGGGGGCTTCTGTCTAATTAAAATTCAGGGATTCTATCGCCAAAAGAAGTGGAGAATGGATATTAGGGGACAGTGACAAGGTTCTGGCACAACACTATTTGAAGAAAAATGTTTGGAACAAAAGGAAGTCAGGCCTGGGAAATGAAAATTTTTAAAGTTTTAAATTGGCAGCCTCTTCCCAGTACCAGCAAGAATAAAGGGTACCCTGTCTGGTTGATGTATTTGTCTGCCTGACAGATAGGTCTTTGTTGTGAAGATGGACACAGCAGGCTATCAAAGCCTAAACTAGTAAATCATATAACTAATTCTTTTCATTCTGATTCCATGCTGATAAATCTTTTTTGCCCAGAGGGAGAGTACGTGTTCAACAGGCCAATGCAAACATTAGTTTACCTGACAATTCTATTTCTCAATGTGTAAATATATTAGTGTCTTAGATTGGGTTTGAGCACGTTAAACTAGGAATTGGACCCTGGACCAAGGTAATTTTACCAAGAAAAATTCTACTTTGTGAACTTTCTTGGCAACCAGCCTTCCCCTGGTGATAACTCCCTACATTGCCAAGTGTAATGGTTAGCTATTGCTGCAACAATGCTGCATAACAAAGGGGTCTAAAACAACATTTATTATTGCTCACACATCTGCAGTTTGTGTGATCTAGTTTGGCTGATCTAGGCTTAGCCAGACAGCTCTGCTTCAAGCTACAGCACCTAGAGCAGCTCTGCCTCTTACTGCAAGTTTGTCAGTTGCCTGAGGTAGCTCTGCTCCATTTGTCATCCTCTTAGAGATACACATAGACCAGTGGGATATCTAAGGTATGTTCCTCTCAGAGAGTGGCAGAGAAGAAAAAGAAATATGAGGCCTTTTCTGGTCTAAGCTCAGAACTGATTGATTCTGTTAGCCAAACAAGTCAATCACACGATTGAACACAAAGTCAAGGTGTGGGGAAATATAACTCTGCCTCTTTAGTAAGAGAAACTACAAAGTCATACGGTAAAGGATATGGGTACAGGGAGGTGTGGAGAATTGGGGCATTATTGTAATCTACCAGGTTTGGTTGACTGTATACCCTAACAAAGTCCATCTGAAACCAAGGTCCAGAGTATCAAAGCAAGAAGTCGGGACATGATTTAATTATGTGGACCCAAGTAACAGCTTTTAAAGTTGAAGCAGATGTTATAATATTAGAAATAAATCCTTTACAATTGACATTAAGTGCCTAGATATCTGAACATTTACATATATATTTGCCTTATCAAACACTCACAAAACTCTTAAGACAACTGTTAATGTTACCAACAGTTAAGTGAAACTTAGGCAAAGGGACGCGCCAAAGGCCACAGAGACATTAAATGAAGAAGAGCAGGATCTGAAACAGAACCTCAAATGCCAACTCAAGTGCTTCTTTTCACTATAACAGTTCTCTCTGGTTGTTTTGATAACCAAGAATTTCTAAGAAGAATGTGTGTTGGATGTGACATTGACATATTCTAACTGGGACATAAGGAAGGACTATAAATGATCTTGCCATAAAGGTCAGGCCTCATCCTGCCACAGTAGCTGTTAACGTGCCACAGCAGAGCTCCCCCATATTCTCAGCTGATACTGAAATTTATCCCACTCCCCTCTCACCGCCAGCCTGTATTCAGGTGGTTTGTCTAGAATTGCAGTGGCTAGAGGCCTTAGAAGCATCACTGCTTTCTTGGCTGTTTGAAAAGCAGAAAGAGTACCTAAGAAACAGCAAGCTGGAACCAAAATCCAGAGGTCGCGGCCCAGATGGGGCTTCTGCTATGCTTCACAGCAGCATAGTGTGGCAGACAAGGCAGAAAGTCAGATTCATCGTGTGCTACTGAGTGCCTTCATCTTTGGACAGACGGCTCACTCTATTACTTGACTATATAGAGATATATATAGTCAAGTAATATATATATATATATATTTTTTTTTTTTTTTTTTTGAGACGGAGTCTCGCTCTGTCGCCCAGGCTGGATTGCAGTG